GTTCGTATATGGAAATGCAGTCACGCAGGTAGATGGGTCCCAAACCGTTTAGGGCTTTGTAGGTAAGCACCTGCACCTTGAATTGGGCCCAGAAAATGAACGGCAGCCAATTGAGCTCCTTGAACAGGAGGGTTGACCTGTTAAGCTGTTAAGATTTCTGGGAGTTGAAGCCAAAAACATCTGGGGACCCCAGGTTGAGAACCACTGGTTTAGAGCTTTAAAAGTTAAAACTAGCACTTTGAATTGAGCTCAGAAGCTGATTAGCAGCCAGTGGAGTTGGCGTAACAAAGGAGTTGTATGTTATCTGTACGTCGCTCTGGTGAGCAACCTGGCTGGCAACCATTGGACTAGTTGAAGCTTCTGGGCAGTCTTCAAAGGCAGCCCCAAGTAGAGTGCATTGCAGTAGTCTATTCGGGATGTAACAAGAGCATGGACCACCGTGGCCAAGTCAGACTTCTCAAGGAATGGGCGCAGCTGGTGCACAAGTTTTAAAGTTGTGCGAAAGCTCTCCCGGCCACTGCTGAGACCTGTGATATCTTGACATATGAGTTGAATTCGTTCTGTGGCCAAGCTCGTAACTCAATTTTCTTGTATGTCAATGCAGATTTATGCATTGAAATGCTATTAGTCCATTGCAGAGCTTGGTTACAGAACAAATTAAACCCATTTGTCAAGGCCCCATAGGGTTTGGGGGCTTCAGCCAACCCTCCCTCCCTGAGAGGGTTCTTCTCGGCCTCCCCACCGTTGTCTGCCTTTCAGAGGCAGAGATGGAGAGAAAGGAGGCCTTCAGTCCCCCAATGTGCCAATGTCCCTCCCTTCCTCCCTTCCCACGAGCTTGGCCTGCCTTCGTGGCTGTCTCCAGCTTATCTCAGTCCTGTGGAGGCTCCCCTTGAGCTCCCTTGCCAGCCTTGCATGGCGTGCTCTGGGTCCAAGCGACAGCGGAGTCCTTTGGTGGGCAGATGGAGTGGTCAACGCTCTGTCAGTTCTCTCTTAGTCTTCTGGCATGGCCGTCATCTTGGAAAGGGCTCGTAACTTGGCTTTGTCTCGCAAGTTGAATAAAAAAAATGGATGAGTGATGACTTGTAATAATGTTTGTATAATTTTGTATAGCACCATTCACAATAATTTTGAAAATAAAAAAGGCAAAAAAAAAGAACTTTTCCTTCAAGTTTATTGCCATGTACTGTTTGGAATTAAATTTTAGTGTCAATGTTTTGATAGAATTTTGGTTGACCTTTGCTTGATAGTTGTGCATTCCCTGTTGATTGCTTAATAGTTGCGCATTCCTGGTGTTGTTGCCACAGGTGGCCTTTTGCTGAAGTGCAAACATTCAGTGACTTTGGGGGATAGAACTTTTAAAAAATCATGAAGGAACAGCAACCAGCTGCAGTTATATTAGAAAATGGGTATAGGACAAATATATGCATTTTAGGCATATAGAAAGAAATACTGTGCTTGCCCTACATGTGAAAATAGGTTGTCTATGTAAAAGATGGTTTTTTAAACTTTCAAGGAAAAAATCATAAACATAATGTTTCATTTTTGGATCTAAGAGATCAGCATTAACAGTTCTAAAGTTGAGATATACATATAGATCTATATAAATAAAAATGTAATGTTCGTTTGTGGGATTAACATAACTCAGAAACCACTGGATGAATTGACATGAAATTATGACACAATACACCCAATAGTCCAACGAGTGTTCATCAACACTAAAAATACAAAAGAAAACCCAGCAGAACAGACTTAAAACCCCCCAAAATACACCATATAGATGTAGATAGATAAATAGATAGATACACACACACACACACACATATACATACACACACATACATATACACACACATACACTCATATACATATGCACACACCTATCTATATATATACATATATACACCCAAGCACACACAAATATACACACACAAATATATACACACGTATATACATATACACATACACACACAAATGTACACATGCACACATACATAGACACATATATAAACACAAATATGCATTGAGACATGCACACACATATACACAATATACATATACACATATAAACACACAAATATATACACACATATATACATATCTACACACACACGCATGCACACACATATATGCACCCGTATATATACATACATATACACACACACACATATATATATACATATATACATATATATATACACGCAAACACACATATATATACACACACACAAAATACATATATACAGACTGGGCCACAGCAACGCGTGGCGGGACGGCTAGTATAGATATATAAATGTAATGTTCATTTGTGGGATTAACATAACTCAAAAACCACTGGATGCGTTGACAACAAATTTGGACATAATATACCAAGGCCAACGAGTGACCATCACTCATAAAAACACTGAAAAACACAGCAGAAGAGACTTAAAAAGCCAAAAAACAAAAAATACATTACAACGCATGCACACACATCACATATATATATGCAAACACACATATACACAAATATATACACACACATATACACACACACAAAACACATATACGCAGACTGGGCCACAGCAACGCGTGGCAGGGGACGGCTAGTGTGTGTGTGTGTGTGTGTGTGTGTGTGTGTGTGTGTGTGTGTATATATATATATATATATATATATATATATATAATCTATATAAATAAAAATGTAATCTTCGTTTGTGGGATTAACATAACTCAAAAACCACTGGACGAATTGACACCAAATTTGGCCACAAGGCACCTACTAACCCAAGGAGTGACCATCACACAAAACAATTGATTTTGTCATTTGGGAGTTGTAATTGCTAGGATTTATAGTTTCCTTACAATCAAAGAGCATTCTTAACTCCACCAATGATGGAATTGAACCAAACGTGGCACACAGGACTCCCATGACCAACAGAAAACACTGAAAGGGTTTGGTGGGTATTGACCTTGAGTTCAGGAGTTGTAGTTCACCTACATCCAGATAGCACTGTGGACTCAGACAATGATGGATCTGGACCAAACTTGGCACAAATACTCAATATGCCCAAATGTGAACACTAGTGGAGTTTGGGGAAAATAGACCTTGACATTTGGGAGTTGTAGTTGCTGGGATTTATAGTTCACCTACAATCAAAGAGCATTCTGAACTCCACCAATGATGCAACTGGACCAAACTTGGCACACAGAACTCCCATGACGAACAGAAAACTAGAAGGGTTTGGTGAGCATTGACCTTGAGTTTGGGAGTTGTAGTTCACCTACATCCAGAGAGCACTGTGGACTCAAACCATGATGGATCTGGACCAAACTTGGCACGAATATTCCATATGCCCAAATATGAACACAGATGGAGTTTGGGGGAAATAGACCTTGACATTTGGGAGTTGTAGTTACTGGGATTTATAGTTCACCTACAATCAAAGAGCATTCTGAACTCCACCAATGATGGAATTGAACCAAACGTGGCACACAGGACTCCCATGACCAACAGAAAAACTGGAAGGGTTTGGTGGGCATTGACCTTGAGTTTGGGAGTTGTAGTTCACCTACATCCAGATAGCACTGTGGACTCAGACAATGATGGATCTGGACCAAACTTGGCACGAATATTCCATATGCCCAAATATGAACACAGATGAGTTTGGGGGAAATGGACCTTGACATTTGGGAGTTGTAGTTGCTGGGATTTATAGTTCACTTACAATCAAAGAGCATTCTGAACTCCACCAATGATGGAATTGAACCAAACGTGGCACACAGGACTCCCATGACCAACAGAAAACACTGGAAGGGTTTGGTGGGTATTGACCTTGAGTTCAGGAGTTGTAGTTCACCTACATCCAGATAGCATTGTGGACTCAGACAATGATGGATCTGGACCAAACTTGGCACGAATATTCCATATGCCCAAATATGAACACAGATGAGTTTGGGGGAAATGGACCTTGACATTTGGGAGTTGTAGTTGCTGGGATTTATAGTTCACTTACAATCAAAGAGCATTCTGAACTCCACCAATGATGGAATTGAACCAAACGTGGCACACAGGACTCCCATGACCAACAGAAAACACTGGAAGGGTTTGGTGGGTATTGACTTTGAGTTCAGGAGTTGTAGTTCACCTACATCCAGATAGCACTATGGACTCAAACAATGATGGATCTGGACCAAACTTGGTATGAACAGTGAGAATAAAGACAGAAGCAGAAACGTTTCCGCCTATAATAAATATACATGTTTTTGCAGTTAGTTTTATGAAATAGATATTAATTAAGTCAGTTAAAAGCCAGGGATAAATTGTTTGTTTTATTTATTTGTAAAGTTAATAACAAATTCTTGATTCGTGTCCAGCAATGAATAAGCCATAGCTTAGATGTGCCCTCTCCCGGTGACAGATAGAAATGCTTCTTTAAATACAGGGAAGGCAATTTGCTAGGTTTTAGTGGTTTAAAAATTACGACTAGGAAAACAAGTCAATTTAGAACTTATAGGACAGTTTTCAAATATCTAAATATAAATGTAAAATACACAAGCCTTACAAGCCAATAATAACGCTGGAATGATAGGTTGAAAAGTCAGTAGGTCTCTTCAGTTTTGAGAACACTGACCTCTTTCTGTTCAGGAAATAGATTCTGCTGTCTATATGATACTGAGGCTGCCGTCTTCAAACCACTTGCTTCAAAATAGTACCATTGACTTCATTTGGCTACGCCAGGAGAAGTGGGGGTTTTAAGCATTACAACCTGGGTAGCTGGAAATGATATATATATGAAACTCAAACTTACATATGGATGAATGTATTTGATTACATTGGTCTTTTTCAATGTTTCCTTTTTTTGTACCTCCTCATGCGCATCTTAGGCATCTATTTTTGGTATGATCTACTCTGTAAAATATGATGTGGATTATGGTGCAATATAAATACTAATAATACTGTTTAAAAAATAAAAAAACCTATTATTGATTGAACTGCTAACTTATTGAAAACCTTTTTAAAGGTAATTCTAGTGATTCAGATGAAGATCAGAACATCAGTGGCATGGCGACTCAACCTGTCCCCAATACACACAGGCTGTTGGAATCCAGGTCACATGGTCATCACACGAAAATAGATATCATCAGGAAAGAGCATGCCAAAAATACCCAGCGCTACAAATACGATTCACAAAGCACAGACACGCTGAATTTTTCTTCGGAATCCAAACAAGATATTGAATATGTAAGTATTGTTTGTTTAACAGGGAAAGCAATATACATGTGCTCCTTAAATGTCACCTTAAATGAATGAAAAACTGGAAATTCTGGCAGTTGGATAGCCACAAGACACGCAAACTGAATTGAAATTTTCTGACATGTTTAATACGTTTAATCAGTCGTTGCTTCTCAGACCTTATATTCTTTACTAGAAATGCCACAAAACCTTTTGGAAAACAAATCTCAAACAAAATTGTGAGGAAAAACATGGAGACAAATGTTTGGGAAAAACATTTTTTTCTTTTTTAAAAAAAGAAATTTTATTAAATTTTTATATAGAAAGAGTGAGAACAATAAGGTATAGAAAAGTGAAGAAAAAAAAAGAGAAAGGGAAAGGCCAGTAAAGTAAAAAGTAAAAAGGACATCCTAAATAAACCCTAAAAAAATTTAAAAAGATTAAAAAGATAATATATATATATATATGTATCTATATATAAACTACAAAGTACATCCACACACACAAAAAAGAAAAGGGTGACTTCCATTCCATCTTCTTGGATAAAATATTCTTATTATTCAAAAATATATAAAAATTTTTTTTATTAAAGATAATAAAATTGTCTCTCTTGTTTTTTATTTTTTGCAAATTGTCCAGATAGTCACGAAGATTGTCCCAATTCGTTCTTTTTATTATAATGCCTGTATTTTTCTTCAACAAAAAAGTCAATTCGTCCATGTCCTTTATTTTTCTGATTTTTTTCCACCCAATCCTGTACCGGGTGGTACTGAGTCTTGCTTCCACTCTCTAGCAAAAACAATTCTAGCGGCAGTCATAATATATGTAAAAAGTTTGTCCTCTTGTTCCGTCAGTTGTAGATCCAAATCTGTAAAGCCTAACAAGTAATACTCTGGTTTTCTTGTAAAAGTTCTTTTTAAGATCCTTTGCGTCTCTTCATGAATTACCCTCCAAAACTTTACTGCTTCTTTACAAGTCCACCACATATGGTAGAAGGAGCCCTCTTGCTCTGAACATTTCCAACACTTATCAGAAACTGTTTTATACATTTTAGCAAGTTGTTTCGGTGTGGTATACCATCTGTGGAACATTTTTATTCAGTTTTCTTTTAAGTCTGTTGCATATGTATATTTTAATTTTTTGTTCCACATCTGTTCCCACTCCCTCATTTGAATTGGTCTTCTTAAATTTTGAGCCCATTTTATAATACAGTTTTTAACCTGTTCTTTTTCAGTCAGCCAGGTAAGTAATATGTTATAAATACTTGATATTACTTTCTTTTCCAATTTTAAAATTTTATCCCACGCTGTGTCCTCCCAGGAAAATCCAAATTTTTTATCTTGATTGTAATATTCTTTAATTTGCATATAATGTAACCAAGTAATATTAGAAAATTTTTGTTTTAATTCCTCATAAGACTTAATATTGTTCGTAACTTTGTTTAACAAATCTTTGTAGGTTGGCCATTGGGAAAAACATTAGAGTAGTTGCAAGAGAAGAAGTATGGTTTTGATGGCTGGTGTCTCAAAGATGTCATACACTGCCCACTTAAAACTTTCATGTCGGTTGTTAGTAACATGAGTCTGTCTCTCTGGCACTGAATATTTTGCTGAGTGCTAGTAGAAGTGTGCCGTCACACACAGACACTATAAAGATAAAACTAAGATGTGCTTCTCTCTTTATCCGGGTGAACTGTGGGTACCTTACTTAGAAGCTCAAGATTCCCAGCAATTGAGGCCAGTCCAGAATTGAACATCAAACAGAGCATTTATTGGGCTGTTGTAGGTTTTTTCGGGCTGTATGGCCATGGTCTAGAGGCATTCTCTCCTGACGTTTCGCCTGCATCTATGGCAAGCATCCTCAGAGGTAGTGAGGTAGTGAGGATACTTGCCATAGATGCAGGCGAAACGTCAGGAGAGAATGCCTCTAGACCATGGCCATACAGCCCAAAAAAACCTACAACAACCCAGTGATTCCAGCCATGAAAGCCTTCGACAATACATAAAACAATTATTTCTCAAAGTCCTTGACAGACTTGGCACAGCTTGATGAAGTTACAAACACAAACAGTCAACTTATGAAACCATATAGATCAGTGGTTCTCAACCTGGGGTCCCCAGATGTTTTTGGCCTTCAACTTCCAGAAATCCGAACAGCTGGTAAACTTGCTGGGATTTCTAGGAGTTGTAGGTCAAAACACCTGGGGACCCACAGGTTGAGAACCACAGATATAGATGTTCTTTCCTTCCTTTTTTCCTTCAGTTGCCAAGTTAACTTTCCCCCAACTGTAGAAAAATCCTGGGATCTTTTACCCTAACCCTGTGCTGCTATCTTTTAGAAAGAGCAGGTCTTATTTATTTATTTTATTTATTTGATGTACTTATTGACCGCCATTCTCAGCCCTTACGGGCGACTCATGGCGGTGTACAGTACACATAAAAAGACAGTTACAAAAGGTCGGTAAACAACAACATAACTATACAACAATACACACTACATAAAAATCCGCTTCGTCTCTTAGTAGAATCATAACCAATCTCATCTTCCTTATGCCATACCAGTTTTCATTGCCGTAATGTTGATGCTTCGCACTTAATTGAATGCCCTCTCGAACAGCCAGGTCTTAAGGCTTTTCCGAAAGGACATAAGGGAGGGCGCCTGTCTGATGTGTGCCGGGAGAGTGTTCCACAGCCGGGGGGCCACCACCGAGAAGGCCCTATCCCTCGTCCCCGCCAGCCGTGCCTGTGACGGCGGGATCGAGAGAAGGGCCTCCCCAGACGATCTCAAAGTCCTCGTGGGCTCATAGGCCGAGATGCGGTCAGACAGGTATTTTGGGCCGGAACCGTTTAGGGCTTTGTAGGCCAACACCAGCACCTTGAATTGGGCCCGGTAGCAGATCGGCAGCCAGTGGAGCTGGTACAAAAGGGCGTTGTGTGCTCCCTGCGTCCCGCTCCTGTTATCAACATGGCTGCCGCGCGCTGGACTAGCTGGAGCTTCCGGGCCGTCTTCAAGGGCAGCCCCACGTAGAGAGCGTTGCAGTAGTCAGGCGGGATGTGACAAGAGCGTGTACCACCGTGGCCAAGTCAGACTTCCCGAGATACGGGCGCCGCTGGCGCACGAGCCTGAGCTGTGCAAATGCTCCCCTGGTCACCGCTGAAACCTGGGGATCCAGGCTCAACGATGATCCAGGGTCACACCCAAGCTGCGAACCTGCGCCTTCAAGGGGAGTGCGACCCCGTCCAGCACAGGCTGTAACCCCATACCCTGTTTGGCCTTTCGACTGACCAGGAGGACCTCGGTCTTGTCTGGATTTAGTTTCAATCTGTTGTCCCTCATCCAGACCGTCACAGCGGCGAAGCACCGGTTCAGGACCTCGACAGCCTCCTTAGTAGCAGGTGGAAAGGAGTGACAGAGTTGGACATCATCTGCGTACAGATGACACCGCACCCCGAAACTCCGGATGATCTCACCCAGCGGCTTCATGTAGATGTTAAACAGCATGGGGGACAGTATGGAACCCTGTGGCACCCCACAAGTCAAGGGTTGTGGTGCGGAACAGGAGTCCCCCAATGACACCTTCTGGGTGCGACCCTCCAGAAATGACCGGAGCCACTGCAAAGCAATGCCCCCAAGGCCCATTTCCGCAAGGCGCCCCAGAAGGATACCGTGGTTGACGGTATCGAAGGCCGCTGAGAGGTCCAGCAGAACCAACAGGGACACACCCCCCTGTCTAGCTCCCAGTGAAGATCATAAACTAAGGAGACCAAGACTGTCTCAGTACCATGTCCCAGCCTAAAGCCAAACTGTGCCGGATCTAGATAATCCGTGTCTTCCAAGAATACATGGAGTTGTGAGGCCACCACATGTTCCAGGACTTTGCCCAAAAAGAGATTGGAAACAGGCCGAAAGTTGTCAAATTTGGTGGGGTCCAATGATGGTTTCTTCAACAGCGGTTTTATAATAGCTTGTTTTAAGCTCGCTGGAATCTTGCCTTCCCGAAGGGAGGCATTCACCACCACCGTTACCCACTCAGCCAATCCCCCTCTGGCCTCCTTCAGAAGCCAGGATGGGCAGGGGTCTAGGATGGACGTGGTCGGCCTCATTCCTCCAAGTATCTTTTCCACATCCTCGGGTTTCACCAATTGAAATGAATCCATCAAAATAGGACAAGCAGGTGCTCTCGTTACATCCACAGAGTCTGCATCTAACGCGGCGTCCAGCCCAGAACGGATCAAGGAGACTTTGTCTGCGAAGAACCGAGCAAATGCTTCACAGCGCGCGACCGAATTGTCAGGGCTCCCACCTACAGGGGGGGGAGTTAAAAGACCTCTGACAATCCGAAACAGCTCCGCCGGACGGTTCTTTGCAGACGCAATAGTGGCCGCAAAGAAAGTTTTCTTTGCGGTCTTTATTGCCGCGGCATATGCCCTAAGAAAGGACACAAACCGTGCTCGGTTTGACTCGCTCGGTTCCGAACGCCACACGCTCTCTAGTTCCCTCTTCCTTCGCTTCATAGCTGCCAGCTCCTCAGTAAACCAAGGGGCTGGTTTAGCTCGGCTACTTGAGAGGGGACGTTCCGGAGCAATCATGTCAATTGCCCTGGCCATCTCCCCATTCCAGAGAGCGACCAAGGGCTCGACATGGTCACCTACCGAGGTGGCGGGAAAATCCCCAAGAGCCGTCAGGAATCCATTCGGATCCATCAGTCTCCTGGGGCGGACCATCTTAATGGGTCCTCCACCTTTGCAGAGGTTAGGGGGCGCAGTGAGCCTAAATCTGATCAGGAAGTGGTCGGTCCATGGCAACGGAGAGATGGACAACTCCTCCACACCGCCACCCTGTTCCCATCCCTGGCAGAAAACCAAATCCAATGTGTGTCCAGCACAGTGGGTGGGGCCAGATATTTGTTGGGACAGCCCCATGGTTGCCATGGCAGACATGAAGTCCTGAGCCGCACCTGTGAGGGTTGCCTCGGCGTGGATGTTGAAGTCTCCCAGCACAAGAAGCCG